TAATATATCTTTAATTGCAAAAAGTGACAAATAAGTTCAGAGCAGTAAATTATAAAAGAACAGTTGATAACATTTTCTTCTCATCTTGTCCTTTCCTCAGGCAATGAACAATGAAAGTGGAGAAACATCTTTTCATGTTTGATTTCAAATAGAATCCTTTAAAAAGGTGGAGGGTTTGAGTAAAAGGAAGGAAGGCTATTTGAACATTAGTATGATGCTTCCCTTTACAAGTTATCGAAACACTTTTCAAGTTACCTTCATGTTTAGCCTTAAACTTGAGCGCAGCATTTAGTTAACTGATAATTTAGTTAACTGCTAATCTTTGAAACCAGCAATCAGAAGGCAATGGGATTAATGTATGAATGTTTCAGAGAGGCTCTTCAGAAAAGTGTGTCATGAAAGCTTTTGACCAGCCTTTTTTTTTTTTAATGACTCACTCACAGAATTTACTGGCCATCAACTAAATCACAAAAAGCATCGTTCACAAATGTTGAGGTGTAGTGGTAAAAATGGAAAGCAGACTAATTTCAATCTCAAAATAATATTTGAAAAATTGACAATAATTTTCTGGATTGCTATACTTGGGCAATTCTTTTACCTTCAGAGGTTTTGGAAATGTGTAATTTGAAGACAGTGGAGTGGAACAGATCACATTACAGATGGAATTTAGATGATAACTTTTCCTGTGAGAGTGAAGCTGATAAAGAATGCAGATCAGTTCTAAGCAGCTTTTTTGTGAAATTGAAAATAATAAAAGCTGTGAAGTACATATCAGTCATTAGATATGGCTTTGAACTATATTCTAGGAGAACGTTGTGTGAATTTCTGAAGTCACAGTATGTTGTGTGTAGGTAGTGTGCCATAGGTGAGACAAAGTAGCATTTTCTCTCATGCTTTCCATTTCGTTTGGTGAGGGAAGTGAACTTCCAGTTTCCTCTGCATGCCATAGTGCAAAAATTTTGTCTAACTCCCCCTTGAGAAGGTGCTCTGCTCATTCCTCCTACTCCTTTACTCTTTGGTTCATCTGTTTGAGAAAAGAGGCGGTGCAGTTTCCCAGAATGTTGGTAGTATAATGGAAGGAGAAGATCGGTGTTTTTAACAGTGCTCTATAGTCTGTGCAATGTCAACATATTCTGTTCCGACCATAAGGAGGCCCCTCTTTTGAATAGATACCTTTTGTAGAAAGCTTATTCTTCAAGTCTTTGCAAGAAATTCTGAAGAATGTGACATGACAAGCCAACATAAAAAAAAGTTTAATTAAAAAAAAAAATTAGAACAGGGAAAGAAACTGGGTGACTGGGTGAAAAGCGTTTCTTATAAGTTGTTTATACTGTACTTCCAAGATACTGAAGATACTGGGATGTAAATAATTTTTTTCCCCCTGCTGTTCACAGAGCCCTTTTATCCAAAGCAGAATTCACTTTGGATACTTTCTACAAAATAGGAAAAGCAAAGAAGAAGCACCCCAGAACTTCTTTGCCGGCAGCTCTTTTGAGCTTTACCTTTCCCAGTCTTTCTCTAGCTGAAATGTTGTGGTCTGGAGGACCCCGAAGCATGGAGCTGTGTATGTGAGTGCTGGGTTGTCAAAACACCCGTGACTTTGACAAGAAGATTGAATATGTGGTAGAATTTGAACCAACTTCATGACTTGATGTATCTCATTTTAATCCTTAAATATGCAGTGGTACTGTGTCTGAATATGTTGTTAGAAACTGTTTCGTTGCTAGTTTCTCAGGGGAGTGTGGTTACATGGTGACTGATTTTTTTTCTTGGTCTCTAGTTGCTGTGGATACAGCCCTTAAACAGATGGTAGTGTGCATCTTGAAAACTTTTTGTTCTTTGTTTTCTCCCGTGGATATTGCTGAGAAATTATGATCTTGTCACAAATGGAGGATTACTGAATGTCACCTCTATGCACCTATAGAGGCAGTAGAATAAAACGTGTGCCATATGTATTAATTCCCTCAAAAAATACCATCTTGCTATTTTGTTACTGCTTTTAAAACTTCAGTTTCTTAGTTCTTTTCCTTCATGCTCTTTGCCTATCCTATGTTGTAATTTAAATAGTTTATCATATTTTAATTTTTCCCCATTATCTGATCTCTTTTTCCCCTTCATATTGCTTTCACATTTTCATTCCCTACTGTCCCATTTTCCTCCCACATTTTCATCATCTCTTCGCCTTCGTCTCCATTTTCCCATGCTTGGTGTTTACTCCTGTACAAAGTCCTTGGAAAGTTCTCTCCCATCATGTCACACCACCAGTAATCATTTGCTATTTTATCCATTTCACACTGTAATATTGATAAAAATCTTGGTCTTCAGTCCTGATGTTTCTACTTCTTGGTTTCTTTCATTTCCCAGCATTTTTCGAAAGTTTATCTTTCTGTAACCTAACCCAGCTAAAAGACATGGTGGGAAAAGGGAAGCAAGTGCTGCATCTGTGCACCAGTGTGGGTAGCAGGGAGTCAGCCTGACTTTCACTTCCCATTGAGAAATATGGAGGGAGGCTGGCAGATAACCAAACTGGGAATAGATAAGGGAGGATTCCGTGTCTAGTTGTTATTGACAACACTGTTGTCACTAAAGACGTATATGTGGAAGGTGGTGGAAAGTTGCAGAAAGATGGTCAGTGCCTTCTGTTGGTACTAAATACAGCTTCTTTGAGCGCTCATCCCTGTGCCCATTCGGGAGGGGTGGTGTTTGAACCTCAGTCCCTTCATCTTGAAAAAATGTTTTTTTGTATCCACAGAGCATTTATTCCTTTATTCTTGCTGAGCATGTTAGGACATGGTATTGCCTACATCTTGGCTTCTCTTAAGTGTTTTGGATGAGAGAAGAACTTTACCAGGTTGCTCCAGACTGTATGATACGCCTACAGCCACACATGAAAATCTTCATTTTACTACCTCTCTTTCTACCCTGTCTTCCACTTTAAGCTTATGTTGTCTTTTCCCTCCTATCTTTTTGTTCTTCTCTTCTAGCTGCCATTAATTTTCAGTGAGACTAGACTCTCCTTTGATTCATATCACATGGCATGTCTGTATGAGATTCTACTGCTTGCAAAGACCAGGCTTCTATAACAAAGGGACTTCCTCTAATTGTTCATTCATTAGATGTCTTTCTCCTGGGACATGGGAGAGATGCTCTGTGGGTAGGCAAACTGAGTGTCTTATAGGGAGTCTCATATCCTGAGAAATTTGCAAGTTTTGTATTTGGTCAGCTAAAGACTGTGAGGCTAGATTGTCAGTTTACCTTCTGGTTATATCTAAGCAATAAACTTCTGACCATGGGAAAAAAAAAATGGATTAACGGAGCAAAGATTTTCCTGGCACAAGAATTCTTTCTCAGCAATATTATCCTCATTCATGATGGTAGGAAAAAAATCCCTCAGTCAATATACTCCCAGACAGTCCAATTCTGTTTTCTCAGAGAAGTGTAAGAACCAGACCCAAGCATATTCCTTAGCTCTCCTGCTGGCACGGAGAGATGGCACTTTAGTGAAGTCTTCTTGAGTAACTTCACAAGTTTGAGTACTAACAAGTGCTTCAAACAGATATTTTGAACCATGAAGACCTTCTGCAACCTTTATACACTGCTAGGTCCATAAAAGCCCTTCCTCTACAGCCAGGACTTTGGATGGAAGGAGCTTGTTTTTTTTGTTCCACAAATGTATGTGTCATTGTCAGGAAGGAGACTACCTGACTGCTTTACCTGAATAAATGGATGAGACTTTCAGCCAAGTGTCACACAAAGTTTTTTTCTCTAATTAGGTTTCCATTCCAACCAGTCTGTGTTACCTGAGGCTTTTTTGGGATTTTGTGACATAATGGAATAGAAACTGTCTTTAGCAACCCTTCCATAGACTCCAAAGACAATGGTACGTAGGGTGCCAATAGGATAAAAAAAGTTCTTTGTGCTGTGACTCCTGAGATGTGTGTGTATAAGATTTGTGATTGTATTTTTAAAGAATTGAGTTGACCGATGAGTGATCCGTGGGTTTGTTTCAGCCCATGAATGAAGTGTATGCTGCAGCAGTAATAATTGTGGCTAAATTTAGATCCAGTATTCCATCATTCTCCCCTTCCTCTGCATGCCAGTTTACATGTGTGGATATACTCCAAGCCTTTTTTGAAATAAGACAGCTTCCCTTTTTGTAGAGAAAACAGTATCTTTTCCTTCAGATCTGTGTGTCTTTAACTCGTCCTTTGCTTTTTTGCACTCTTCTGGCTTTTTCCAATCTTGTAATTGTTTAATAATGTTTTCTTTGTGTTGAAAATAAACTTGGATTTATTTCAAGAGGTTTTTGGGTGTAAAAACTGCATATACCCTTGATGTTGGCATGTCTGAATTTTGGGGTTTTTTACTGTTGTATTTCAGTAATGTATTTGCAGCAACTGATAACCCATTGCTATTTAGACATTTCTGTTTTACTTTTCTGAATAACTTTTTTCATGGATTCGAGCTGTGAAATTAAAAACGTTGAATTTCCAGGGTGCTGACACAGGTAATGAATAGTCTATGATTATTTCCTCTACAAACTACCACCGAAATGTCAGGTTTCTGGTTTTTTTATGGAAGTTGGCAATTCCACAACCTGACAGACACTAGTAGTACTACTAGAGTAAGCTGAATGTCTCATTAACAGCCACCTGTCACAATCACAAGGCTAACTTTCTCTAATTCCTACTCCTCGATAGCACCCCACTCACACATGAACAATCCTTTTTTTTCTTGGACTGGAATTAAGGAATTTTCTTTCTGTCTGACTGAGCTATAGCCTTTCAATTTGTTTAGTATTTGTAATCGGTTTCCCTAGAGAAGCAGTGGTTGGGCAACTTCCTAAAGCAAAACACTGTTTTATTTCAAAGCAAATAAATTTTTTTTTGAGAAATAGAGTATTTTTATTCTCCTGTGTGATTGATCTACATTCTCTTCCTCTGGCAATTTAACTTGCAGCAGTTTTGTATAAAAAAATTCATGGAGTACAAATGTCCCCAGGCATTTCCAGAGTATTTAATTCACTGTCTGGTCAAGTCTAGCTTATAGAAGGCAAGTTTCTTTTCAGTTGTACCTGTCCCTTCATTTCTAGTGAATGTGGGATAAATAAAGCATCCGTTTTGGGGAGTGGTTGGTTATTGGATTCCAGGCCTGCTTCTGTTTTCTTTCCAGTCTGCACTGAGAGAGTCTTGATGGGCCATTTCTTCTTAGTGCCGTTTTCCGTATCGTATAGTAAATAAGAAGTCTGTGGTTCAGATAGTAAGTGATCTGCCTTAGTATTCAGGTTCTCTGATTTGAACTCTGATATTGGCACATAACAACTGCAAGCTGGGTTCACCCATTGTGTCTTAACGTGCTACTGTTGTGGTTTTAGCCCAGACAGCAACTAAGCTCCCACAGCCACTCACTCACCTCCGTGCTACCACCCTGGAGGAATGGGGAGGAAAATGAAAAGTAGGTTGACATAAGAGCAGTTTAATAATTGAAACAAAGTAAAATATAATAATAATAAGTAATTATATTGATAATAAAAAGAAAGAAAAAAAAACCAAAGAAGTGATGCACAATACAATTGCTTACTACTCGCTGACAGATGCCAGACCCTGTTCCCAAATCCAGATCGACCCTCGTTTTGGGTAACTCCCACAGTTTATATCTGAGCATGATGTTCTATGGTGTGGGATATCCCTTTGGCCAGTTCAGCTCACCTGTCCCAGCTGTGCTCTTAGCTTGTCAAATCAAAACAATTCGGGAACTCTGATTTCTCACTTTGGTTCCAGCCTCTACTTATTCCTTATTACTCTTTGAAAAGGTTTGTATACAGGAGGTGAATGAAGGGTTATCTATCTCATCGTCATGTATTAATAGCAGTTCACTGTCACCAGTCCACATCCAAAGAGCCATGCATTAAAGTAGAACTGTCTCTGTTTTGTGCAAAATGTTTAAAATGGAGCTAATGTTATTTCCTCAAGTACAGACCCCATGTTCATGCTGGTGGACCCGCCTTCAGAGTTTTGAACACTGGGCACAACCCCCCCACACACCTGATTGTCTCACTCAGCAAGTGTTGAATGTCAGATGGAAGAACAACTCCAAATCATGTCATTGCTTTAAAATTCAGCTGGTGGTTATGCTCAACTTATGGTTATGATCAGCTTCACTCACAAAGATTAATGCATAATAATGGGAACTTACTTTTCAATATATACCTGAGATTTCTGTGGGGAAAAATGGACAAACCCCACTGCTAATAGGACAACATGGATGCATGTTTTCAACTGATGTAGCCATGACCATACCTGTGATGTCACAGCACCAGCAAGAGCTCAGTTTGGATGAATAGCTGACACAAGCAAGGGAAGCTGGGAAGTTTGGAAAAGGAAGTACTTTCTTTCTCTACTGTTTAGAGAAGCTCCAAATCCAAATATTATTGCAGAGAAGGTCTGAGAGTCCTGATCAACGCTTCCCTAATGTAGGATGAATGAATAACATCAGTTCTCAAAAATGCCATCTTTCAATTTCTGCTTGACATGAAATATCTCTCTTCTTGGCATAGTGATCCATCACATTCTGGCTGAATTACTGCATCATAGCAGGAATGAAAAGTGAATGTAACTGTGATGCACAGTTCAGTACAGAATAGGTGCTTACCCTTATGGTACCGGGTTAAACATGGAGTAGTCTGACTCTTCAGAGTTCTGAGCTATCCACTAGTTTTGGGGGGTACCTACACAGCTCTTCACTTACTGCCAGCAGTTGCGTGTCCAAGCCAAATAGCAGCACACCTTCCCGCCATGACAAGCAGCAGTCTGCAATTCCAGGCCCTTGGCATGATTATGCCAGGAAGCGTTCACTACTCTTGAATGCAATAGCATTCAGTCTGGAAGGCCTTCCTTGAATGCAGTAGAAGAGGCAGCCATTCCTTGCCTCCAAGGAGCAAATGTGCCCTGCCCATTGGCATTTCTGGCTTCTGTTACTGTGAAGATATCATGCCAGTGCTGAAATCCCTTCCATTATCTCTCAGGCAGCTTCAGAGCCCAGACTGAGTTGTTCCTTCCAGATTTCAAAGGAAATAGCTGATCAGGCTTCAGAAAAGACCACATGTGGATTTCTGAACTTCTGTGACACATCAGCTCCTCAGGGACAATTACAGGCATCAAAGCTCAGGATGCAGCAACTAAGAGTTGGAGACAGAGCCTCATGGCTAAAGAACCTTGCCTGTAGGATAAATTTCCAGAGAAATTGGAATTCTTTCCATCATTAAGAGCAATGCTTAGAACACTAACACTGTTACATTTCTACCCCCCTTGAAAAAAAGGAAGTTATTAAAGTAAGAGGGAAACAAAACACAAAAAACCTACCCAAAACATTCAAGAAGCCAGCAAGTTTTGTCCTCAGAAAAAGAGGCAGGCTAGACTTTTGAATAAGTGTCCTGGAAATTTTACCGTTGGTATCTCTTACACAATGTTTAGAGCAGCAGGTATTATGTCATTCATGGTTATGCTTTTTCTTTGTTTCTATCATCAGTATGTCTACTTTGGAGTCAATAAATTGCTGAAAAATTTATGTCAGAAAAGCAGTAAATAAGTGTTTCTTGCTTTCAGTACATTTTTTAATGAAGCTTTAGATGAAAGAAGTAAGACAATATTTATGTCCATACCAAGTAATAGCTCCTATGCAGAGTAGCAAACTTTAAAAATGTTACTTTAAAAGGTGAAATGCAAAGCAATTTCCTTTTTCTTTTCTTTTGCTGCGGTTGTTATGTTAAGAAAAGGTGAACAGGACAGATATCAAGAAGTGCTTCCTGTTTGTGCAAACAGATGGCAAGCTGGCATTAACCATCTACATGAGATAACAGTATCAAAATATCTTAACCACATGCATCACTTTCAAGAGGACTTTTATAAAGCCTTTTCTTTCTTTTTTTTTTGGAAATATTAATTAAAATATATGCATATCCAAAGGCTACATAACTGGATATTTGTTAATTGTCCATAACACAACATTTTTATTTGTCAAGCTTTGGATAAGAAAATATGCCATGGCAGGTATGTACATGGGAAATGGGTCGAGCTGTTTTTCAAAAAAGTGGGGGCGTAGATTATGTGAAAAGAAATGACATAACTGGGGTTTTAGCAGGCTGTACAATCAGAGACATTTGCTAGCTCTAGATAGTTCTTCCTTATTCTGTAGGAAAGGAGGATACTTCTTTCTTGTAAACAGAATTGACCCAGGCACCATTAAAAAAAAGCAGCAACCCAAATCAAAAAAAGACGTCAAGGATGTGACCTCATAAGGCACAGCTTCAGTACATAAAGCCTTGGCAACTATCCAAGAATAAATCATCAATATGGCATTTCCTTACAACCTTTCTATGATGAAGAGCTGCAATTTTCCCATTCCCTTAATCCAGTCTGTTCTTAAATCTCATTCTTTGGTCATCTAAAGTTGTGACCAGTTTGTTTTCTTCCTGTAACAGAAGTTCCAACATCACCAGTGTTCTCCTAATCCACTTCTAGTAGTGATTTATTAGAGACCAATAAAATGGTTTCCTTGGTATATTTGTCTGCTATCAGGCAGTAACAGAGAATTTACAATCAACCAATTCACCCAGTCTTTATGATGCTAAAAGAAGGAAACTGAATTTTTCTATAGTTAAAAAATTGTAGTGTAGGATTAAGGGAGGGAGAAAAGTTTATAGGCCTTTTTTTAAGTGTGTCCGTCATCCTAGTTGAATAATTTATGAGGCAGTGTTTTTGTCAAGTGTTTTTCCTGATGACATGTTGAAGACTATGTTGTGAACAGAAATAAGGGCCCAGGCACCAATTTCTGTGCAGTATTTTTGTGAGTGATGGTCTGTAGACTGACTTTTTCAGTGCTTCTCATTCTCGAGTAGTACACCTGCGCTCACTGCTCCCTGACACCTATGATTCAGGACAAAGAAAAATATTGCCTGAGATAATCAAAATGTAAGATAGCCTGAGTCAGTCTGTCAGTTGTGGAAATCGGCACTGGATGTGACAGGTTTAATGGATCCTCCTTACCTGGTCCTGAGTCATAGTAAGTCCCAGCCCCCAAAACCATGTAGTGTTACACTTAATTCTTTTTATAACAAACCAGAATCACAGACGAACTGCCTGTGTTTCATTAAACGGATTAGACTGGCAGACACTTGTCACTGAAGGTGCTGCTAAGGAAGGGAACTTACATACTGGACCCTTGAGCATCCCCACTGCTTAATGTTTTGGATCACTCCAGAGAGCTCTGTTGCCTGAGACAAGGTAACAAAGAGTGAAGAGATTGGTGTGAGCTCTTCTGGGCTGTTTGGTGCTGAGGTTCAAGTATATTGTGAAATGCACAAATATTGTGTGCTGATTCCCCAATAGGGACTCTCAGAGCATTTAGAAGCATTGCTTAAATAAATTAATCAGATTGGTTATCTTATATGATATTATATAATATTATATATAATATGATATATTATATTTCTGACTTCTTGCAAGTGTGTTAGTATAGTGTGAAACCACTGCAGTACAGAATTGTTCATAAAATTATGAAGGGAAGTCTGCAAAATAATTTCTCTGAGGCAAGGTGGAGTATTGGTCTGGAAGTCTCCTGCACATTTTTTAACTGGAATTTCTGATATTTACTTAGTGTAAGATATTATTTGGTGTTTGATTTGGCTCAGATTAAAATTCACAGATCTTCATGTATTTCTGCTGTGATAGTTAAGGTTGTCTGAAGGCCTTTGCACAGTCACCATCCACACTAGAAATCTGTAGCCTTGCTTTCCATCTCCTACAGATCTACAACATTAGCAACACTTCCCAATTTTTCCATACCTTTACTTTATGGGGTTAGCACAGTACCAGATCCATAGTTCCTGCTGCAGTTCCTTGAATCCCTGCTCTTTTGAGCCTAACTTTGTGCATGTCCATCATCTAATTAGAGGCCAGACTGTGAAGGGAAGCGATTTTTTGCAGTTAAGATAAAGAAACCTAATGTACCTGGTTTTGGTGCAGTTTAAAGTAATACACAGATGAGAAGTGGACCTCAGTATTGCAATTAATCCTAAACATCCGTGTCCACACACCATTAAATGTTAGATATTCTTCCCTCATTAATATAGTTAAGAAATGATAGAGTTTGTCATTTTTCAAAGGTAATTGAAATATTCTGAGGGCAACCAAAAAAAGATCTTCTCCCAACTATGCTGATATAATTTGTCTAGTTGTTTGTTTTTTCTGGGAAGGGGTTAGCAGTCTTCACATGGAACTCTTCTGAATGCATCAGTCAACATTTGTAGTTTATCGAGGCATCTGCTGTAAACCTTCAAAACTAAATAGTTACATTTGTAAGGAATCTGCAGTTTTTATTGGAAGTAATGAAATCTGTGTATGTTAATTTAAAATGTAATCTAAGTTTGAGATAAGAAAGTAGACAAGTCCTTTTGTAGTATTAGGTGACAATGCACAGGACAGGGAGGATGCAAAACCAAACTGTAACAGGCAGCTCAGTATTGAAGTTGAGGGCACAGCTGGAAAGGTATGTTTATTTCAGTCTTCAGATACACTGGAATACTGGTAAATTAATACATTTATTGTAGATTTTATATTTGATACACATTATTCTGTATGACTTACGATTCTTCAGAGGAATGTGTCATAATCCTGTTAGTATTTTTCAATTCACCATTTTAAGGTAAATTACTTGTGGCAGTGTTACTTCCTCCTCCTCCTCAGGTCTTCTCTAAATAATAAAAACATGCAAAACAGCATTAGTGCAGTGCTCTTGCTGAACTACAGAGCTTAGTAGACTTTCAGAAATTCAAAGTTGATGAATTAAAATTCAACATAATTCTGAGTTAGGGGAAATTATAGATGGGGAAGTACAGGACATGATTACCCAAGACCACAGGGTAGTGCAGTGCTGTCAGTAGAATGTTTGATATCCCTCTTTGGGCTTAAACTACAAACCAGTTCTTCTTTTTACTATGCTATGCTGTTTGGCTAATGCCAGACTTAAACAGAATCCTTTGGTTAAAACCTCATAAATGTTAAGCAAATGTTTTATACAGTATGGAAAATAGAAATGTAGATACATAATAATTTTTAAATTCAAAATCACCAGCAGTGGAAACTATGTCTTGAAAATGAGTGATGACTCCTAGCTATTGCACATCTTCGCAGGGAAAATGCACTCTAATATGTAAGGGACTAGAGCACTTCACAAGCTGGTGTTTCAAATCTCATGACTCCCCAAATGCATTTTAAAGTGTGCTATTTTACTGCCCC